TATTTTGTTTTGTTTTGTTTTCTGTCTTTTTGAGACAGGGTCTCCCTGTAGCCCCAGCTGACCTGGAACTCACTTTGTAGACCAGGCTGCCCTTGAACTCACAGAGATCCACCTCCCTCTGCCTCCCAAGTGCTAGGACTAAAGGTGTGGGCCACTCCGACCAGCTCTTGAACAGAATCTTATAAGAGCACAGGGAGTTTACTGAGCTGAGCATTAGAGACCTAGGGCCTTTGTGCCTTACTGCACTGAGTTACTTCATCAACATGGAAAGAAAAAAAAAATTAGACATGTTTGTCTTCTATTACAGAATATGTCTGTAATGTTATATGTAGGATTCTGTTACAGTTCCTGACCCTAGTAGGATTTAGAACAGCGAAGAAATGATTATTGGAAGGAATAGTGGGACCAGAAAGATGAAACACAGCCATGGCTTTAATCCCAGCACTTAGGAGGCAGAGTCAGGTGGATCTCTTAAATTCCAGGCCAGCCTCGTAGTGAGCTTCAGTCTAGCCAGGCCCTGTTTCAAAACCAAACAAACAGCTGGGCGTGGTGGCACACACCTGTAAGTCCAGCACTTGGTAGGCAAAGGCAAGTGGATCTCTGTGAGTTTGAGGCCAGCCTGGTCTCCATAGCGAATCAGACCAGCGGAGGCTACAGAAAGACCCTGTCTCACACGACCAAAAAAAACCCAAACAAGACATAAAACAACCTTTATATTAATAATACAGGTGTATTTGTTACCTTTCCTTTGTTACTTTGCTGTGTTTACAAGAAAAAAAAAATGACAGGGCTGGAGAAATGGCTCAGTGGATAAGAGTGCTTGCTGCTCTTCCAGAGGACCTGAGTTCAGAGCCGAGCACTCAGGTCAGGTGACTCACAACTGCCTATAACTCCAGCTCTAGGGGATCCAACACCCTCTTCTGGTCTCCCAGGGCATCTGTGCATACATAGCATTCACACACACACACATAAACAAAAATGAAACCTGAAAACAAAAAACACATCAAAAGCCACTAGAAGGGAGGTTTAATTTGGGCTCCCAGTTGGAGGTTACAGTCTGTTATTTCAGGGAAGTCACAGCAGGAAGTGCTTGAGGCAGCTGGTCACTTTGCATCCACAGTCAAACAGCAGCAAATGCTTGTGCGTAGTTCCCCCCTATCTTTTTAAATATTTTTTATGTTATTTTATGTGTAAGAGTGTATTGCCTGCATATAGATAGGTGTACCCATGTTGTACAGTGCGTGTGGCAGTCAGAAGAGGTCGTAGGATCCCCGTGTTAGCCACCATGTGGGTGCTGGGAAATAAACCCTAGTCTTCTGCAAGAGCAGCCAGTGCTCTTAACTACTGAGTCATCTCTCCAGCCCCCTCCTCTCTTTTATTAAAGATAGGTTCTCCTTGTACCTGCAGCTGGCCTGTAACTCACTATGTAGACCAGACTGGCCTTGATCTCAGAGAGATCTGCTTACCTCATCCTCCTGAGTGCTGAGATTAAAGGTGTGCACCACCAGACCTGGACCTCTTTTTATTTGACCAGAACCCAGCCCAGGAAATGGTACTGCCCCCCCTCAGTTAACATAATCAAAATTCCTCAGAGCATGCCCACAGGCCAACCTCATCTAGACAGTCCCTCACCAAAATTCCTTTCTCAGGTGATTCTATGTATAAAATTGACAATTGACATTAACCTTCACAACCGGCCTGAAAAATGTCCAGTGACTTCATTCCATTTAATGGAGGTCGCTGAGATTTCAGATAATTATACGAAATGATTCATTTCCAACATGTAGAAGACTGTGCCAAACCTCTTTAAAACAGAGAACATTTCTTTTGATCCCTTGATTACTTTCCAGGTGTGTAATAGTCTAATTAGTGTTTATTACAATATTTTGTGATCGTCAAAGAGCTAAGCATACAAATGTTAATTATTTTCAGTGTTGTAAATGCAGAAGCATTGTCTTTCGTAATTTAGAATGCTCCTAGAGGTGGGTGAGGAGGACTTGAAAAACAATATAATTAAAAGATGCCTTTATTAACTAGTTCAGTGCCCCCGCCTGTGGGGACCCTGTATAGGTAAAGCTCGAGGGGGACCACTCCCTGAAAGGAAAAACGGGCGAGAAAGAAGAGACAGAGCCCAAACAAGTCCACTTGTCAAGGGCCGCTTTATTGAACTGCAAGCTTTCCTTATATACAGTTTGTATTTAGAAGGGGTTAAGGGAGTTGGTCAAAAAGGTTACAGCAATCTTATGGGTATGGGAGGGGGACTGAGCAATTCAGTAACGTGACTGACCGCCAGGTGTTCCAAGAGATTACTGCATGACTCATTTTTTCGAGAACTGTTTGCAAGAGGAAGAGAAAGATAACCTTGCCATAAATTCTTTCTCAAGGTTACTTGTGCAAACAGAATTTCCTGCTTAAGGCAACTGTTTGTAGAGCTATTTTATATTTTTTGGTAATGATTGTTGTTTCTCCAGCCCCCAACATCTCACCCTTTATTAATAACTTTAGCGAATGAAGGATCTGTTTCAGGCTATGTGGTGGGTCCCCCGAGTCGGGATTCTTGTTTCTTTTGGTAAGGCCCCTGTCTTAGGCTACACAAACTGCTTCCATGTTCAGTACCCGCAAGTTTGGGGTATGCCCCTGAATCATGGGTTTGTGCTATTCCTGTCATTGAGTACCTTACAGCTGAGAATCTGCCTCCGATCTCTGGCACCACAATATTCCC